ATCAAGGTCCAGTTCCGCCCTGGTGGGAGAGGCGAAGACAAAAAACACACCTCAACCTCTCCAGATATTGAGAACCATGACATATCTGGAGCATGTACAAACTGATATTAATCTTTAATAGGGTTGTCAAAATTGAGAGCAAACAAAACAACTGCTGTATAATGCCCTCTGCTATCTTAGTTTAATTGGTCACATGACATGTGTCATTGTTTTCAAAAAGGCTCTGGGTTCACTGTCCACACTGTGATGTGAAAACAGCATTTTCAAATGTATCCGCTTTGGAGAGCATTTTCAAAACGCTGCGTTTTCCTTGACTGAAAATGCCGTCTCAGTGTGGATGGGAGGCCAAAACGGAGAGAAAAAGATGCATTTTCAAACGAAAACGTAACTGTGGACATGGCCAAAGCCATCTCCTTTCATCCGAAGCAGTGCTTTCATGAACCTTCTTGTCTGTCAGTTAATATATGCAACCAGCCTTTAGCCACAGTCGTCTACTGTCGCTGAAAGCTATGCTTATTTCAATCCCATAGGTAACTGAAGCTCTCTCTGTCATACAGATTTGTGTCCTTCTCCCATCAACAAAGACTACACCTGAGTAAGCTGAGAGCCCATTAGCTTTGTTCTGGTGGCTTGCACATAAACTTGTGGATAAAGCACTGGTCTTTTATTCTAAACTGCTGGGAGGCAAGCTGCTGGTGCTCAGCTTTCACTGATCTAAGATCAGTAACAATCTGCACTTTGTATGGAAGCACAGCTAGCATTAGCAAGTAAACAAGCCTCAGTGATTTGGCCTGACACTGATGAGTTTCATCTTGCTAACCACCGTGGCCATGTTGGAAACTGAATGTCACCAAGTTGTAAAATCATTTGATACATTAGCAAGGACAGTTGTGACTTTGGACTGCAACTATGTGTAATCCAGTAAAACAGACAGATGCACATCTGCCCCGTCTTTGCCGGTTATAACAGGTGAATTAGGGGCTTCAAAAATGTATAACTGCATCTGATATGAGTGATTAACAGACAAAGAGAGAGAGAGAGACTGTGTTCTGTGAGCGATACCAAGAAGGTGCTGAAACCTGTAAGGGTCCACGTAAATCCTCCAATGGGATGTTTAATTTTGCAGCCAGGCTGCCATCCGGGAATTTTACTCGGGATCGAAGTCAGGTGAGCACGTGGACAGAGAAAGGACCTGGTAGTGAAGCTACCCACCTCAAAGCATGTCCACGCAACAACACCACCAGGAAGGCAGTCTTTGCACTATATGGAGCATAGGTTTGATTCTGTTGTCTAAACACCAAAAACACTGAGAATCCTCCACCTTCATCCAACTCACCACTGAGTACTTCTGGAGTGGGACGAGCTCTCCCTAGATGTTCAGGTGGTCGCAAACAAAAGCTGAGGCTGGGTACTGACTGCAGCTGACGATATTAACATACCTCCAATTACATCCTATTGTCTACAGCTGTGACGGCGCATATTTTAGCTGGTGTTCTTACAGAGCGAGCCAAAAGACCTTACAAAGAAAAGCGTCTGGACTTCTATAAGTTACTTGAAGACGTTTCACCTTTGACTACGATGACCTGGATGACTGAGAACCTTCACAGACTTACACAGCGAGCACTCTGCAGAGGTCATTTTCTGACCTAATTGTTCTGTCATAACCAGTATGGGCTTAGTGTGGAAGAAAAGTTTATCACGTTTATGTGCAATAGTTAAAGGTGCATTTAGGAAGTTTGAGTTAGCAAGGCCCGGGCTCCCACAGACACATGCACAGTATGATCTCCTCTCGGGAATCTCTCTCCTACAGCTCAGTCAGATTCTGCTTCTGAGGTTTTCTGCACAGGTGAGAAAAGAAAGTAAGATAAGAGCAGAGCAAAATAAAGCAAGAGGCAGGTATGAAGACAGTAGGAATCAGGTCATTACCAACAGATGTGTTTGTAGTTATGCTGAATTCAAGGGTGGGAAACCAGAGGAGCACCTGTCCCTGAAACACAACACCAACACTCAAACAGATAGAGAGAGAGCAAAATGAAAAAACTACAGTAAAATAAGTAAAATACTTTAGCATTATGCTATAATATGCTGGTTAAAAATACATGCTGCTATTGTTATTATAATTGTATTATTGTATGTTGTGGTATTTCCATCTCAGTTAAACAAATCTTTCATATTTGTCACATCCCTCAAACAAAGTTTCATTTAGACCACATATAAGTCCTGAATGTATAGAATTTGTCCTTTTTTAATACACAGGTCACTACAACCCTCCTAGAAAAGAATGCACAAAATATCTGTGTTAATATTAATTTTCAAATGTTCATCAAAACTGCAAGAAACAACACTGAAACCACGAACAGCAATCTAGACACATGATGCTGATGAGGAAAAAAAACCAAGACTGTTTGTGAAGGACGCTTTTAATGTTCCTAGCATAATGGCTAACCTTATAAATAAACATGTCATAAGTTATAACGGAAAATTTGATGCATCCAATTACAGATAGCGTCTGATCTGATACCACCTGTGTGCTTCCATCATATCAACGATCCTGCTGAGCGACTACGACTACTGGGTCTACTGGGTCTGTGACCCAGTATGATTCTGGTTGAAGTTATAGTCCTTGATTTGTTGTTATTCTTGGTCTTGGTTCTCCTTATTGTTCTGTGTGTGTGTGTGTTATATCCATAGTTGCTAGTTTCCAGATTTCTGTTACTGTTTCCTGTTTTTGGTTTTTTTCTTTAGTATATTTGCTACAGTGCAATAAAGGTTTTTAGTTTACCGCAGTGATGGCCAAATGAGGCTGAAACACTGACGTTTGTAGAGAAAAGCGGTTCATTACGCCAAGCTTTTCATTACGCCAAGCTTTTCAACACAAGCCTCTTTGGTGACATCTGGTGGCTAAAGGTATGAAGAGCAGCTTGAATCTACAACTTCTAATGAACTGCTTCATTATGATTGCCCACAGAGCTGAGTTGACAGCTTCTATTTGATATCATGTGACAGCTTGTCTGGTATCTGGCTGGTGTTTTGAACATGTGTTTTTTGGGGTGAAAAAATGATGTTATGTCTATTTTAATAATAAATAATTTTGATGAATAAGCCTTCTTTGTTTAATCATGTACCATGGCGTGTTCTACTGTTGTTTGTGACTTCTTGATGTTTTTATTAATAAAAAAAACCAACTATATATAACAATGTACAACACAATCTTATGATAGGTTGAGAGTAATGCTTCCTCTACGAGGTCCCTGCCTCCACGTGAGTATGTAACTAACAAGTGGACAGGTACATTTATATACAGTATAATATACTATAACTTCTATAATTATAACTATATGTACTGTGTATTTCTTATGTTCATTTTGTTAATTTGGGAGCAGAATTTCTGATGAACTGGTTTCACTTTTTCACACAGGGTCATGTAAGTTTGGATTTTTTTCCCCCTTAATAATAAAAACCTTCAATTAGAAGCTGCATTTTGTGTTGACTTCTGTTATCTTTGTCTAATATTCAAATTTTTGATGATCTGAAACATTGAAGTGTGACAAACATACAAACAAAATATGAAATCAGGAAGAGGGCAAACACTTTTTCACACCACTGTAAATGTTTGTTAGAAATTTAAGCAGAAAAAAGACAGGACGGAGGTGATTCTCATGAACAGTTGCAATGCCCCCAGCACAACCTGTGGATCTGTAGTAAGTGGACAAAGCTGCTCCATTAAGTCTCCATTAAAGACTAATATATCTTTAATATAGTAGGTGACCGAAAAGGCCCAAGACAGTTGGATAAAGGGACTATAATGGACAACACTGGCACTGTGTAAATCTCATTAGATGCATAAACTGAGCATGAAATGGCTACACAGTGCTTACAAAAGCAGATAAACCTAAAGATCTGTTATTACATTATCATACACTGAACTCAATTCAATCACTTACATCTATTTATCCTTGACAAGACTAGTACCTGATCCGAAGGGTAGATATGACAAAATAAATGTTAACTACTGGCAAACCCAGTGAGAAGTGAAGGTGAGACAAGAGATGAAAGAAGACAGAGGGACATACATGCTCCTAAGTTAAAGAAGCATAAACTCTTTCACTCTTTTCATTGCAAATGTTCCAAATAACAATACCAACAGCTGGTAGAACATGTACCACATATTGTTTTTGCAGTGGCCATGGATCGAGTCCAGTATCGGCTCTTTCCTGCAGGTCATGTCCCACAGGTCTCTGCTGTGTCTTCTGTCTACTACTGCTTCTGCCCAATAAAGTAGACATGCCACAAAATAAAGCTTTTATTATCAGCATCTCTTAAAAATGTCAGCAGCAGTCTCAGACACCAGTGTTAACAGGAGCAGATACATTGTGCCCAGGGGTTAACCTGGGAATTAGTGGGTGGGGAAAACCTAACAGCTGGTGTGCAGCAAATAAATAAAAATAAAACATATAAATATGTATAATGTGAACTCCTCTATATTTTTCTTCTTTGCATACAGACTAACCCGCTGTGTTTACTGCTCTTTGTGGATTAGGTAAATCCAACAGGATAAAAACAGACAGATCAGCATAAATACCAGTCTTGTATTATAATACCTAATACTGGCCATTAACACCGCAGCCTGCCTTGTACCAGCCCAACACTGTAAACTTCACCACAACACTTCAAACTAACAAGTTTAAGCGGTGTTGTGTTGCGGACGCTGGCTGTGGGAAACAAAACATAAAGCTTTTGCACAGTGCTACATATAAAGACAAACCCAGACTTCTACTTTAGCTCAAATCTTTGTGTGCTGTTTTTGTAAAATAGGGCTTTCAAAACGGAAAATTCGCTTTACACGTTTATTGCTCGTTTTTTCGCATCATTACGGTGAAAGCACTAAACTGTACGGTCTGTAGCCACGCCCCTTCCCTACAGCTGCTGTCTATCCGGGAAAATACCACAAACTGTTCTGTTGCTGTGACGGACCCCGGACACACAACGGACAGGTGAACGGCGTTTTGCCTTTGCTCGTGTTGTTAGACGATGACGATGCTAGCTTGGAAGACAAGTTGCTAGCTACATTAGCTCAGCGGCGTTTGCTTAACTAACGGTTGTAATGTTATTTGTAACGTGACCCTTTTCAGGTTGCAGTTGTCTGTTCACTTTTGGAGCCTGCTGTGGTTAAACGGAGTGTCAGCTGTTTGCTGGTAAACAGCATTTTCATTCTTCTGTCCCCGCTGACCTCGTTAGCTTGTAAATGCGGATTATTATTGAAGTATTGGGGCCAAATCGCTCTACTGTGTTATTTTCCGCAGTGAAATTGTCGCTTGACAGCAGCGCCCACTACAGCGCGCTGTGCTACTGGCTGACGGTGTGTGTGTGCAGGCTGTCACACCGTGTGAAACACAATGATTCCGCTGTTTTGTTGACCGTGTTTCTTCAGACACGCTGTGCCGAACTGTGAAATAGTTAAACACTGGTGCTGTGCAGCAAAGCGAGGCAACAAGAAACGAGCTCGCCTTTAAACTGAGCGCAGCCACATGAAGGACGTTAGCTGTGCAGACTCGTGTTTTTCCGTTGCAAATGCTTATTAACTTGATGTAAATGTCCATGTCTCTGAGTTTGTAATGGCGTGGACCCAATGTACCGAATGAGCTGGACGCTTTTAAAAATAGATGCTGTGACATTAACGGCAGAATTCCTGACCTTGTCCTGGCCACCTCGAAGCACTGCGCAGACTCGGAAGAGAGGTCAGTGGGGTTCAGTGACTTCAGACGCGTTAACCTGCTCCTGTCAGTGCAGAGCGAGGTTTGCAGTTACATCGCAGTAATCCCTGAATTCAAACCTAGCAGGAATATTAAGACTCACTATATCCGCGTACTGTAGTGTCTCTGTCGGGTGTTTAATGGGCTTCATTTTGCACTCAGTTAAACATGTATGTTATCCTGTAGATCTGATTGGTAGGACGTGCTGTGAAATATTCTTTTAAAAATATATTTTTTATGGTGTAAAAAAACAAGGTTCACAGTTCACCGAGGATAGTTGATGTCCAAATTCATGAGTCGTTGTCACTTTAAACTAACTGTAGTTACTTGCTGTATGTTATGTGAAATGAGGCCTGAACTTCCTCACTTTGTGTAAGAATGGATTGCTTAAAGCATGTCTTAATAAACTCACTACCTGAAGTGTTTGTTTTTCCCTTTTAACCACATCACCCTTTGTTGTCATCATGCCAGTTGCCAGGGAAACCCGAATCACCATGATTATTGCAGTGCCATCCACTAACTGCAAGGTTAATTACTGAGTGTGTAGTAGTACAGACAGAACAGTGGATTTGTGTATGTGCAGGAGACAGGAGGGAGTTGTTTACTTTGCTTCCTAACTCCCCAAATCTGTTCCTGATCAAGCAACTCTTAAAAACATGTGCAGGGGTGGGTTTTAATAATCGATTCATCGATTAAAATCGATTCTGGCTTGGATAACGTGATATCAATTCATTAAAATCCTGAATCGATTTTTTTTTTAATATAAATGTATTTTGCCCAAAATTCCAGAATCTCAGGTGAAACGTCACAAAATTTCAACAACCACCAAACAGCTAAGACAGTGAATGAGAGCAGAAACACGGCTTCTGCACAAAGACGTAAACACACAGCGCGGAGCAGAATCAGTGAGATGTCGCCTTTCTCACCGACGGCACGGACACGGTCGGGGGTGAAAGCCGACAGCTCGCTGATTCTGATGCGTCGGCATTTATGCCCTTTTTGCGCCGATTCTAAAGCTGTTAGTCTGATCTCTCTCCAAACAATATTGACTGAACCAGCAGCAAAAGAAGATCCAAACTACGCTTCACATAAACATAATCATGAATTCACTCTGACTTTTGCTGTTGCGCTCTCTCTCTCCTGCATTATTCGCTTGCTTGTTACGCACAAGTCTACCGTTGTTTACAGGCTGTCGGCCGATGTTTTTTTTTACTTACTTCTGAAAAGAAAACCTAATTTCTGCTGTTCAACAGGCTTCTGAACAAATGTAAACTTTTTAAAATTATACAAAATGCAAAACGCTTAGCCGTGTCTCTAATAAAACCGCTGTAACTTCGGAGGTGATGTTCATATGCTGATTAATGGTTTTCTTTCATTTTTGATGTACTGCAGAAAATTTCTATAAAATCCCAGGCCAGGAAAATCATGTGTTTCTGTGTTTTATCTTCAGTGACTTTGACACAAAGGCCTCTGCTGTGATGCTCACACCTTTGATAAAGTCTGGAAAGTGTCAGCTTCCTTTTTATAGATACAAAAATATGTAAATGTACTGATCTGAATTATATTATTTCTGACTTTCTGAGGCAAAATTTCCTCGAATCGAATCATGGTTCGAATCGATTCTAGGAATCAGTGACGATACCCAGCCCTAAACATGTGGGATCCATGGAACCCAGGCTTCACCGTTCCCGGGACTTGAAGGACTTGTTGCTGATATCTTGGTTTTCTCTCTGTTTGCCATCCGGGAATCCCTGTGATCCTGCTTTTGTAACATGGCGTGAAACAAAGATTAGAAAGTGCTGAAATCAAACTCACAGTAAATGTAAAGTAGTATATGTTAGCAGTCATGCTTTTCAGTTACTGAAACATTATCTGCTGTTGGAAAAGATTTTGATACCTGTTGAAATTTATTGGTAAATAACAAAATTGAATGTGAATATGACCACAGTGGCAGTGAGGAACTACGCTCTGAAAGCACTGATTGTATTTAACCTTTAGAGGTTCACAGTAGGGATGAAGAAACTCACCCTTCAGTCTGATAGTGGCATACTGGAAAACGAGATGCCATTTAAAGATACCAGTGAGTGCTGTATATCTGTGACGCATTTCCAATGAATAGCTGGAAAAAGTGTTTATTTATTGAGTTGACACTTTTTATAAAATCATCTTTCCTGGAGGAAAAAACAAACTGATTTTTTTTTTTTAATCATCAACATCAGCCAGTTTAAGGACGGCAGGCACAAAGACAAGCCTTTAAGACCCTGCACCTCTCTGTCAATACAGTGTTTAAGAACTTTGTAGTTATTAAACCAAAGTTTTGAACTTGGGTTTTTCCATTACACTTGGTGCTACCTGAGGCCAGTTGGACTGCGATGCTGATATGAGACATACACTTCCAATATTAAGATTCCCGCTGGTGCTGATTGGACAGATGGCTCTCACTGTGTTTAGTTAGAAAGTGTGTTTCACGGTAGGTCACGTAGTAACCTGCCTGTTTTTGTCCTGACAGGAGGGCAGGGATCAGTCTAAATCTGAACCGATTCTCCCAGTATGTTGCCTCAACACCTGAAGCAGATTAGAGTCCTCATGCTCAACGACAAGCAGAATTTAGAGAGAACTCTGTTCAGACTCGAGCAAGGTAAGAACCTGACTGTATTACTGAATGTACTGCACTGTTCAATAGCAATTACTTTATAAAATCCTGCATTTAATGTTTAATATTATGCAGTGGGATTATGCTGCAGTGGCTCCATCTACTAAGCTGCTAAATTGGTTGATAATGTTTTTATATGCTACTAATCTTATACATTGAAAATTTGAATGTGTGTGTCTTGCTGTTGTTTCGGTTGAAAAGGTCGGAAATGTTCAATCCACATATATATTTGTATTAATATTAAGCCAAATAGTCGGTAAATCACTGCTGAAGACCTATCCACACACACAGTGTAGACACTGTTCCTTGGTTTCAATGCAAGACGAAGCATAAACCTTTAAAAATTCTGCAACAATCCCTACAAATGCAAAAATCTGTGTTTTGTTTGTTTGTTAGTTGCATTTATATTTGTTCATGTTGGACATTGCTCAAATAAATGTAGGTTAAACAGTTTAAATGAAACATAATAAGGGGATAAGACTGAAACAGTCATGTGTGGCCTGTCAGAGTTATGACGGTGAGAAAATGGCACAGACGTCTGCATTGGAAGAATGGTGGTGATTGCATTACTGTAAGCAGATGCAGTTGCAGGTGGTTATATATTAAGTGTAGGGATGCACTGATCCAATCTTTTTCTGTTTGCATAAGGAACCAGTGTTATACTGATGAGCTATAGTCCTCACTCTGAGGAAAGCAATTGAGGGAACCATTGTTTTATGTGGAAGGTACCAAGGTTCAGCTTCAACACTCAGTTTCATTTAAAAAAAAAATAAAAATCACAAGTTAGGAAGGGCTTTTCTGAATGTATACAAAGTCATGTAGAAAATATAAACCAAAGCCATTTCATTTTGTTCCCGTGTCCACTCATTCCTACGTCTTATTTCATAGTGCAGCCTTCACATGCTTTCTCAGAAATACACTTCCTGAAAATTATATTCATCTTATTTCTCATGTTGTCTTTTGGATTTATTAGTGCAGCATAGCTTTTAGCTTAATTCTTAGCTGAAATCAGTTGGGTGTGGCTTTGTCATGTGACCCTTCATCACTTTCTGACTCGGTGTATCAAATGTGTAGTTATTCCTCAGCCTCATTTAGTGTTAAAGATGCGTTTCCAGCTTTGGAGGCCAAGCTCAGTGAATTGGAGACCTGGCTTCTCGCCCTCAAAAATCCTGCAGCTAGCTAGGTGAGGGCAATGGTAGATAAGCCACCATAAGCTGTTCCCTAGCAAATCATCCCGCGCAGTCGGGAAACAAGCTAGGTAACTGAGGAGGTATTGTAGCCCTACAGTCAGCCTGTCCACGGTTAAAATTGATTTTCCTCATTTGACAACACAAACACCAGGAACAAACTCTGGTTATTGGTGACTCTGTTCTCTGAAGTGTGAAACTAGAGAATCAGTCAAATGTATTCCTGGGGTCAGAGCATTGAAACTGCTGTCTGAGGGGAAACACAGGTCAGGTAAACTTGTAATTCACATCAGCAATAATGTGTCAATTGGTGGTCAGCAGAATGATTTAAATCATTGTGTAACTTTGCTAAAATGCTCTCTGTAGTTTTCTGAGCATCTCTGCAGTCAGCACAGCTGCTGGCTGAGTGCTGTGCAGAAAACAGTGTGGCCTTTCTGTTGGGATGCACCGTGTATGCACGTTTGTGCATGCGTGAAATGTTTGTGTGCGTGTCGGCTTGGCTGAAAGGGTTGAAGAGATGTGCCACTTGGCATTTAGAGGGCTCTGCATCTGATAAGGATTTTGTTGGCTGCCTGTCATATGGGACTATTTATAGACAGACAATTAAACTCTGTCCTAACTCTGGAGGACCAACAAGACCTACAGTTTTCTGCTAATGACTGTGTGCGTGTGTGTGTCAGGGATGTGGGATTGTCTTGTGGGTGGGTAGCAGTAATGATTACTGCAAGAGGGGAATCTTTTCAGACTTGTTGAGACACAAACAGTTGTGACATTTTAACAGGGTGAAGACAAAGTGGAATTTTCCTTACAATTCAAATTCCCAACACAGTTTGTTCAGTTTGTGTCGTACTTTTCTGTCTGCCCAGGGTTTGAGCTGCAGTTCCGTCTCGGTCCAAGCCTTCAGGGAAAGAAGGTTATGGTGCACACCAACTATCCACTTGAAGGACAGCTGTTTGACCGAAACAACTTCCGTGTTTTGCCATGGACCTACCCAACAGGAAAGGAAGAAGACTCTGATAAGTTCTGCTCTCTGGACCTCAAGTTGGCTGGGTCCTATCAGTACTACTTTGGATATGTGTAAGACCCTCCTGACAGTCGCCCACATTTTATAAATCCGGGGTTTCAATGTCAAAGCTGAATTCAGGAAATGGCAGTGGAAAATATTCCAACAGTTAAATCATTTTGTTGGAATCATCCACGCTATCACTAAAGCCTGTGATAGCATATCTTTATGTTAGACAGTCTGTTCTTCATTTGTCCATGTTTATTAAAAATTATTGTAGAACTCTATAAATTGTTTAAGAAGTGAATACTTTGTGAAACAGCGTGATAAAGGTGTCAGTCAGAGATGCCGGCCAGTCCCGGAATAACATGCTGAATAGGTCTGGCTAGGTGGAAATCAAACCAGGAACTAATTATTACTATTTTTTAGGTTATAAATTAATATTCCAGTTGAAAGCAATCTCCCAGAGCACTTGGGGTTTGTATCTGGCCCAAGGATATTTGGCATGCAGACTAGAGCAGCAACCTCAACCAATCACAGCAGATGGCCCCGCCCCTCCCTGAGCCTGGTTCTGCTGGAGGTTTCTTCCTGTTAAAAGGGAGTTTTTCCTTCCCACTGTCACCAAACTGTTGTTCTGCACAGCCACGCGAAGAGAGATAGGGCCATAGAGTCATGGTGAGCTGGGTCTATCTTAGAGAAGTGTTCACTAGCCTGCTCTGTCTTGTTAGACACTCAGACTTAGTAATGTCTGAGTTACTTAACACAACGTGTCACATGTAATGTATCTGTCTTCCTCTCTTTCATTAGATGGCACACAGCGTTCTTTAAAACTGGATTCTAACCCATGGTTGACACAATTTGGTTTGTCCTTCTAGGAATAATCCATAGTGGCCCATTTTGCCTGGACCCTGTGCCTCAGAGATGCTCAGAAAACTACAGAGAGCATTTTAGCCAATATTTAAGACTGCTGATCACCAACACATTATTGCTGATGTGAATTACAAGTTTACCTGACCTGTGTTTCCCCTCAGACAGCAGTTTCAATGCTCTGACCCCAGGAATACATTTGACTGATTCTCTAGTTTCACACTTCAGAGAACAGAGTCACCAATAACCAGAGTTTGTTCCTGGTGTTTGTGTTGTCAAATGAGGAAAATCAATTTTAACCGTGGACAGGCTGACTGTAGGGCTACAATACCTCCTCAGTTACCTAGCTTGTTTCCCGACTGCGCGGGATGATTTGCTAGGGAACAGCTTATGGTGGCTTATCTACCATTGCCCTCACCTAGCTAGCTGCAGGATTTTTGAGGGCGAGAAGCCAGGTCTCCAATTCACTGAGCTTGGCCTCCAAAGCTGGAAACGCATCTTTAACACTAAATGAGGCTGAGGAATAACTACACATTTGATACACCGAGTCAGAAAGTGATGAAGGGTCACATGACAAAGCCACACCCAACTGATTTCAGCTAAGAATTAAGCTAAAAGCTATGCTGCACTAACAAATCCAAAAGACAACATGAGAAATAAGATGAATATAATTTTCAGGAAGTGTATTTCTGAGAAAGCATGTGAAGGCTGCACTATGAAATAATTTTCAGGAAGTGTATTTCTGAGAAAGCATGTGAAGGCTGCACTATGAAATAAGACGTAGGAATGAGTGGACACGGGAACAAAATGAAATGGCTTTGGTTTATATTTTCTACATGACTTTGTATACATTCAGAAAAGCCCTTCCTAACTTGTGATTTTTATTTTTTTTTAAATGTAAACTGAGTTGAAGCTGAACCTTAAAGATTACATGTCACAGAGAAGGTGTTTGCTGAAAATGACCATGTATAGAAACAGTCCACACAGGAGCCCAGCGATGGTAACAGTTCATCTTACAGAGCAGTTAACCATTGATCTGTTAGCTGTTTGATAATCTGGAGTTGCAGTCAGGTTTCAGAGCTCATCACTGTACAGGAGGCTGAAGGTTATGAAGACCTTACAGCCTCTGACCGTGGACCTCAGTGCAGTGGTCCATACGTTATTACAGCGCTGTTAGTGTTAGAGGTGCTGTGCTGCAGTGGTTTGACCTGAATCACCTGCAGCTTCCTGCTTTGACATTCAAATGAAAGCAACGTTTCTTGTAAACAGCCACAAACATCAGGATAGCATGAACTTTGCCTCCACGCTGAGCCATGTTCATTCATATTTTTATCAACTAACATTTTATTTCATTTCACTAACGAAATGTTAGGAAACCCCTGAGCTCGTGCGGTACACCCCACGGCCCCCTTTAGCTCCGCCCCTGTTTGCAGCAGGGTCCTGTGTCCTGCCGTCAGCGTTCAGCATGCTGCCTGTCTGTATCAGTTAAACGTAACTTCTGCAAACAGCGGTGGCTGGAGCAGCTTTACACTTCTGTTGAACAGGTGCTTTGAAGGACTACTACCAGCTTTTTCATGTGAAGCTTTTAATGGTGATTACTGGTCACAGCTCCGCCTCTTTGCTCTTCACAGCGTGTCCTCAGACTCTGGCTCCAAGTTAAAGTGACAGCATCGTCTCAGGCGTAGCTGTTATCAGTCGTTTTGCTCTAAACCTGGGGCTGCATTGGCCCGATGCTGACTGACAGACGGATGTTAATTCACAGGTTTAACAGCTTTCGATGCTTTTCCCCTCTAGCTAACATGTCAGGTGTGGCCCTGTACAGTGGCAGCCTTACCTGCTCCTGATGCTGGTGCACTATGTGATACTGCTCTGCATTCAGGTCAGTCAGTTTCTGATTGAGCCAACCGCAGCACTCCTCGATGTGTTGAGGTGACAAGCTACAGAGGGAAGCAACATTACATCACACTGCTGTGTGCTGCACACACAGATATACACACTTTACATTAACTACACTGGTCCATGTCAGCGTCACAGAGGTAACTCATATCTGAACAATGAAGAAACATAACAATGTAGTTTTTAAATGTTTGTGGGCTTATTTTTTTCAACCACGCTGTGCTGAGTGATGAGCATGGAGGAACAGGGATGTGCTCCCTACAGATGCAAACATCAGTCTTCTTTTCACAACAGAGGTCCTGATTCATTTAATACTGAACTAACGTTCACACTAAGTCAAAGGGACTGTGTGGCGTCACCTGAATGACTTATTTTGGACTGGAAACCAAACAGAACCATCATATTTAAGAACAAATCCTTTCACACACTCTGGATGATCGTCAGCCAATCACAGGGGTCCATGGGTCTGACATGCAGGGTAAGCTGTACCCACACAGGGTGTGTCAGATTAGCTTGCTGAATGTGGTTAATGCTAACACGCAAGGACAGGAGGCTGCTGCTTTTATCCCCACACAGGTCCACACCTGTGCAGGATAAGGTTACACATTGGTCTAATCGGGTGGTGATGTCACCCGACTCTGTCCACATTGCATGTTTAAAACTTCCTGTTGCAGCTCTAATGTGATGGCTGCGTAACATCTTCGAGCCAACTGTCAACTGCATACTTACAGTGCTGTGAAAGCAGAGTTCTTACATTTGAGCAATATTTGTCACGTTTTTCTTTAATATTAGACAAAAATAACCCATTTAAATACAAAACGCTGTTTCTGAATGATGAGGCAAAAAGACCTGGTCCGATGTGATTGTTGAGCTCACTTTGTCAGACAGACATTAAAGTTACGTCCTGATTGAACAGGCGTGGCTCGTTAATCAGTTCATTCGTTCGTTCCACACATGGCGGGATGGGCTTGGACAGCTTCATTTCCCCTTAATAAATGTAATCTTAATTTAAAAATACTTTTATAAATGCCAACAGTCTTTTACGACTGTCGGGTGAAAACAGCACATTTACTCAGCTCATCTTTGTCCAGGATTAAAAACGTGTTTGACGATCTGAAAAGAACAAAGAAACTCAATCGCAGCAAGTTGACCGACTACAGCTGAGCAGCAGCCCAACATCATACTCGTGCCGTGGACCCCGAGTCTCACCTGTGAGGCACAAACGTCTCCAAAGCAGAGTCCATGTCTGCTGTGTTGCCATAGCGACGGTATTGTGGATCCTGAATGATCCTGAGGCCCGTCTGCCCTCCAGTCTTGCTGTGGTCTGGCTTGGTACCTGATGGCAGGCACACACATGTTAACGACACAGTGAATGTGGTTTAACCCTCTGCTCATCTTTGCACACACTGTAAACACAAGTTCTTTTTTGGGGCTTCAAACTGAAAACATGCTGATGAGTTTTTGAAGCTCACATAACGACACTTGGCTTTGGGACGTCTGTGTGGATTTACACACCGTTTTGCAGCAGGGTCCTAAACTCCTCCACAGCACTGTCCACTTTGACTTGGTAGAACTCCCACAGTTTGATCTGAGGGAACACGTCCTGCCACATCACACTACGGACGGCCTGAAATACAACAAATCAAACACATGTTACACAAACGTGTCTTTAAAGCGAGAGAAAGTGTCTTTAACCATCTGATGAACTGACCCAGCTCAGTTCATCTGCATAGACATGAGGTTCATTATTACCTGGTTTATTCTGAGGAATTCTACAAACCCTCCTTTAGGTCAGCACTTCTGTGAGCCACTGAAGTAGTAACACACACACACACTTCAAACTAGTGTGCTAAATTTAGCGTGACTAAAGTCAGTTTTATCCACTGACACTGACCTGGTCCACAGTGGCTCATTTGTGGGCACAGCCACAGTTAACATAGGAAGAGCATTAGTTTAGTTTAATGAGCCGACTCTTGCCAACACTCACCTACCAACTCTAACACAAAGCCAGACTCCAAACAAAGAAACACCAAACTTGGAGCAAAGATTTATGCACCAAATTACAGCTTGCAAGGTAAACGCGGCTTGGTGCTCGGTTTTGGTTGTCTTAACTGTCGGGTGTAAGAGTAAAAAAAATAAGGGGCAATGTGCAAATGTATATAAATAAATGACAAAATGATTATCTTTACTATAAAATAAAATCTAAATATAGAAACTGAGTATTCTGCACAGGCGTTACTCAGCAGTGCAGACCGTCAGGTGCAATAGTTTATGTCTCTGTAAAAACAGGTTATTTTTTTAATTGACATGTAAAAGTTTAACAAAAATTTAATTGAAATTGTGTCTAGAAATGTCACACAAGATATGTTCTGCTGTTTTACAGCAGGCCAGGAAAACGCCCCTTAGCTTTGATCGAAATCCCTCTGACTGTAAAAAACAAAAAAAAAAATAAATGGTAAATGGCCTGTATTTATATAGCGCTTTACTAGTCCCTAAGGACCCCAAAGCGCTTTACACATCCAGTCATCCACACATTCACACACTGGTGATGGCAGCTACATTGTAGCCACAGCCACCCTGGGGCGCACTGACAGAGGCGAGGCTGCCGGACACTGGCGCCACCGGGCCCTCTGACCACCACCAGTAGGCAACGGGTGAAGTGTCTTGCCCAAGGACACAACGACCGAGACTGTCCAAGCCGGGGCTCGAACCGGCAACCTTCCGATTACAGGGCGAACTCCCAACTCTTGAGCCACGATCGCCTGGTCTCACAGTAACTTAAAGAAACATTTAAAAAAAAGCTAGCTGCCTTTGGTGATGAGGCTGTGGATAAGATTTCAATTCATGCTCTCAGGCAAGGCTGTCATTGGCTCACACCACAGCCTGTGACATTTGTGAAAGTTCAAAGGTGAATGAATGTGCAGGAACCCAGAACTCACATTCAGATGACTCTCCGTGGTAATGTCAGCAGGAAGTCCTTTAGCTTTGTAGCGTCCCTCTGCTACTCTGGTGGTTAAATGCCACAGAGCTCTGTCTAAAACCCAGGCTGGGCGCAGGTGAGGAGAGTTCACCAGGTTGTATCCACATTCTGGATGCTCCCTTATCCACATGCTGTTAGCAGCTGTGCAGGAACACAGACAAGAAACCATTGAGCTGTTTAAATACTTTATTCATCAATGTTTTACTCTTTTTACAGATCTAATAATAGTCTGACAGTGAGTCACACATACTGTATAAATCAGAGTTCAGTCTGTATTTAACCTTCATATCAGGCTCATTTTACTGCTCGACCTTTCCTGAGCGAGGATGAGAGGGATCCACGGGTGGTCACTGCCAGCAGGACAGCACAAACACTTTGATACAACGAGCATGTCAAATGAAAAGTCTCGACCTGAAAAAACACTTTCAGAGTAACTGTTAACCAGTTTTGCTATAAGATGTTTTACCAACAACCTAAACCATACCCAGCTAACTTTTTAGTGGTCTTTAAATCTTGACCTGATTCTAAATAGATTTCAAGTGAAAGCCTTAGACAAGGCTACAGCAAGAGTACGGGAGCGTGAGCAAACCTTAACCCTGACAAAGTGTGGCAAAAATGGCACTTTTAAAGCTTAGTGTATCGAGTTAACTGCCATGTTGGACACTGTGGCGTGAAGATTTCTCCTGTATTGGCTTCCCTTCATTGGCTCCCTGTTAAATCCAGAATTCAAAATCCTGCTCCTCACATACAAGGTCTTAAATAATCTTCTGTGCAAACTACAGATGACCAAAATGATCACAAGGACTTTGGTGCAGCAACCTCTTTGCAAACAGTTTCATCCAGCAGCAGCCAGCGACTGGCAGAAACCATCTGCCAACCAGTCAGATGCATATTCCTGCCTTGCACCTCGTGGTTATAGTGTGTGCTTGAGGTCAGGGAAGAAACCTGTGAGGCTACACTTCCACAGAGGCCGTACTGAGCCCACTATAAGAAAGCAAATGTTTCCAGTCCTCCCCACAGCACAGTGTTCACCTGCTGTGCTTCAAAGGTAACAAAACCAAACGGCTTCTCTTTACTTCCCTTTATGATTGTGAGTCAACAACAATCTTTCCTGTTCTGTCGAACTTCACAGGATAAGGGTAACGATCTGTCTGAAAGTCCTGCCTTTGGGACAGTTTAATGACACTTTCAATCCTGTGGAAATGTGCAGACTCTCGGTGAAAGCATGTGTTGTTGTGAAACCTCTCGTACTATAACACGCGGTGGAACAAAGACATGTGATTGCATAAATGTTCAGGCCAAATAAAAGTGAGTGTGTGCAGCATAACAAACCATGAGCTGTAAACAAAGATCACAATAAAAGAACGTGTTGCATGTACGCTGAGTGCACACATGTCGACTTCTCCATCCTTAGTCCATAATCGAGTCCATGCATTATGAAAAGTGATGCACTGGATGTTCAGTCAGTGATCGGCTCCATGGACTGGCTCAGGAAGCCTTGTGATTCACTTCCCCTGCTATCCTTTAAGGCAAGAAAACAGTTGCATTTTTGCTCTTTGTTAACCAATTAGCACTCTTCAGTAACATGTTCTGCTGTTGGTGTGCCTAGTTAAGTTGGCTGCTGTGGGTAACTTGAAGCGTTTAACTTGGTTAGTGGTTGGTACGAGCCAACCATGAAATTTCTGAAGGATGTCGCGTCGCTGCAGTCAAAACAATATTTGGTACGTCTGATTGCAAAGCACAGGGTAGAGTGCTTAGAGGGGAGATGTCAGAATCTAAAGACAGCAGTGAACAGCAGCCGTCTCACATCAGATGCAGGAGGTGGCCTTTGACCTTCGAGGGGAAGGAAGCGGTGTTGCAGTACACTAATGAACGGCCCTCCTCATGGCTCAACTCACCAGTATGGTTATACACCACATCTGTGATGCACAGCATGTCCCACTCTGTCTTTAGCTTCTCCACCAGCCCCCCCACATCTGTCCAGTCGTAGCTGCGACCCGCTGGGCTGAACTCTGGGTTGACGCTCAGCTGGTCAGCTAAGGAGTAGCAGGACCTGGACTCCCCCAGAGTCTGCACTGGAGTGAAGTGGATCATGTTGTATCCTGGAAGACAAACCCACAGACGTACTATTAATCCTTCTATACGGCATTTTGTTTGATAGTCCTGACATGTGATGAATCCCCTCACACACTGCACTGTCCATGTGATGTAGTACCTGCACACACAGGAGGATTGATTCAGAGAGTTTAGGCCGATGACAGGAACCATGGTCGTCAATAACAACCAGAAGTGACTGAGTTTGCATTTTATGTTTGAACACAAAAGAAAGAACCAGAGTCTGTGTGGGCGTGCCGTGCTAACCTACCCGACTCCTTGGCCACTCTAAGTCTATCTGGCCAGTCGTCCAAGTGTCCCAGACATTTGGACAGGTAGGTCTGGATGGTGATGCAGTCTAACGGCAAAGTATGGTCGTCGGCCCCGACACGGAGAACTGGATCCACCACAATATAACCTCCTCCTATACGCTCCGAGTCTCTGATGGAATTTAACAAAGTACAGCAGGTTAAGGAAATATACAAACGTGTCATATCACAATATGATTGATAGACTGACACCATGTATTTACTTTCTCTAGATAACAACAGTGAGACAAGCGCAGGCTTATCTGAGAGCCACGAGTCCGTTTCAGATGATGATGGAGTACCTAACAGTGAGGAAGAGGAGGTGATACTTGTAGCTGCTGATATGCAACCCAAAAGCAAACAAAGCGTTTAAGAGAGTGTTGCTGGAGCACTTCCTACTTAGAGTCCATGACAGGAGGAGCAAAAAGGTGGATGAAATGACTGATATGGCTACACGATGGGAACGGAGGGCAAGTGGTTAAAACGCCTGAGCCAAGAAGCCACATCGCTGGGAGAAGTTTCACTTTAAAAATATGATTCCGACTGGGTGACATCACTTTAGATATTTTAATACTTAAAGTGTTAAGCAATTATCTTACAGTTTTTCTTCATTTGCTGGGAAAAACTCAGTGCAGCGTTTAATACTTGACCATAATATTTTATTACGATATCAGAAAATCCCACAGGTACTGTAGTACTGCAGTGCTTTGAATCATACCCATCTAATAGAGTCCAGTTTGTTAATGTAAACGTGGAGGCTGCTTCATATACAAAGGCTAACTGTGGCTTCCATGGGTTGCTGTGGGCTTTCCTTAGTATTAGGTATAGATACGCGATTCCCACTTTTATCTATTCATGAAGCAAAATAACACACATCACTACTACTTCTAGATTCGACTCTTGTAATTCATCGTTAAAAAAGCCCCCAGTTGATTCACAGTGCTGCAGGATAAGTACTGACAGGGACTACAAACAGCACATTTCTCCTGTATTGGCTTCTCTTCATTGAATCTAACTTAAAATCCTTCTCACATACAAGGTCTTAAGTGCTCTAATAGGGTGATATGGTACTACAAGGTCATTAAGATAAGATGGGGCCTGATTATTTAAGACCTTGTATGTGAGGAGCAGGATTTTGAATTCAATTCTGGATTTAACAGGAAGCCAATGAAGGGAAGCCAAAACAGGAGAAATCTGCTCTCTCTTTCTAGTCCCTGTCAGGACTCTTGCTGCAGCATTTTGGATTAGCTGAAGGCTTTTCAGTGAGTTTTTTGGACATCCTGATAATAATGAATTACAGTCGTCCAGCCTGGAAGTAATAAATGCATGAACTAGTTTTTCAGCGTCACTCTGAGACAGGATATTTCTAACTTTAGAGATGTTGCACAAATGGAAGAAAGCAGTCTTACATATTTGTTTAATATGTGCGTTGAAGGACATGTCCTGGTCAAAAATGACTCCAAGGTTCCTCACAGTGTTACTGGAGGCCAAGGTAATGCCATCCAGAGTAAGAATCTGCTTAGATACCATATTTCTAAGCTTTTCAGGGCCGAGTACAATAACCTCAGTTTGATCTGAATTAAGAAGCAGAAAGTTAGCGGCCATCCAGGTCTTTATGTCTTTAAGACATTCCTGCAGTTTAACTCATTGGTGTGTGTTATCTGGCTTCATGGACAGATAGAGCTGGGTGTCATCTGCATAGCAGTGTAAATGTATGCTATGTCTTCTAATGATGCTGCCTAAGGGAAGCATGTATAATGTAAACAGAATTGGTCCTAGCACTGAACCCTGTGGAACTCCATAATTAACCTCAGTGTGTGAAGAGGACTCTCCATTTACATGCACAAACTGGAGTCTATTAGATAGATATGATACAAACCACTGCAGCGCAGTACCTGTAATACCTACAGCATGTTCTAATCGCTCTAATAGGATATTATGGTCGACAGTATCGAACGCTGCACTGAGGTCTAGCAGGACAAGCACAGAGATGAGTCCACTGTCAGAGGCCATAAGAAGATCATTTGTAACCTTCACTAAAGCTGTTTCTGTGCTGTGCTGAGCTCTGAAACCTGACTGAAACTCTTCAAATAAACCATTCCTCTGCAGATGATCTGTTAGCTGTTTGACAACTACTCTTTCAAGGATGTTTGATATAAAGGAAGGTTGGAGATTGGCCTATAATTAGCTAAGACTGCTGGGTCTAGAGATGGCTTTTTGAGTAAAGGTTTAACTACAGCCAGCTTGAAGGCCTGTGGTACATAGCCGATCATTAGAGATAGGTTGATCATATTTAAGATCGAAGAATTAATTAATTCAGGGGCAGCACGGTGGCACGGTGGTTAGCACTGTTGCCGCACAGCAAGAAGGTCCTGAGTTCAATTCCACCATCAGGCCGGGGTCTTTCTGTGTGGAGTTTGCATGTTCTCCCCGTGTTTGCGTGGGTTCTCTCCGGGTACTCCGGCTTCCTCCCACCGTCCAAAGACATGCAGCTTGTGGGGATAGGTTAATTGATTAATCCAAATTGTCACTAGGTGTGAATGGTTGTCTGTCCCTGTGTGTTAGCCCTGCGACAGACTGGCGACCTGTCCAGGGTGTACCCCGCCTTTCGCCCTATGACAGCTGGGATAGGCTCCAGCGCCCCCCGCGACCCTGAAAAGGATAAGCGGAAGCGAATGGATGGAATTAATTAATGCAGGAAGCTCTTTGAGCATAATTTGTATGCATATGAAACCGGAGGGTTGATGGTTTGGAGGACAGTAATTATTGAAGCTGTAGATAATATTACATCTGTGGGATGATTATTGGTAATTTTTTCTCTAATAATAAAAATTAGAGTACACTTTGTGCATGAACCCTGTCGAGTAAACTATACTGGTTAGTACTTGGCACTCCACCCACTGCTCTAAATGTTGTCTGAATATTACTGGATCCTTTCTGGATGGCGTTACACAGAAAAGCTAACTCTGAGGTTTCGAGATGTCAGAAACCATTTGGTGACATCAAAGTGGCGACATCCATTTTTCATTTACATGCTATAGTAAACATGAGGGCAATCCCAAAAGTAAGGTGTCCTATTGTTTTAGAAATACAAGCAACCGTTTATTTTCCATAGTATGTGCAGCATTTTAAAGCTTAAAGACTCATTTTCCTACATAATCGCCATTTCGGTCGATGCGTTTTTGTAGACGCTGTGACAGTTTTACAAAGCCCACGTCATAGCCGCTCGCCGCAGAATCGCCTTCCTGACAAATGTTTCTTTGGGAACAGGTGGTAGTCACTGGGTGCGAAGTCTGGACTGGTGGCTGATGATGTTCCAACCAAAGTTTTGCAGGAGAGCGACAGGTGGACGGGTGACGTGTGGACACGTGGTATAACTGCAAATGAACGGTTCATATGCAGCTCCAGTTAAATAAAGACAAACCTGATGTTACAAACCTGAAAGTGCTCAAATTAGTTAAACTCAATTGTATTTATACAGCACCAAATCACAATTACCCCAAGGTGCTTTATATTTTAAGGTCGACCCTACAATAATGCATCCAGAGAAAAACCCAACAATCATATGACCCCCTATGAGCAAGCACTTTGGC